CGCATTCAACACTCAAGAAAGCAACGATGCCGACCACCTGCGCACTCACACCACCATTGGGCAAGAAGCCGCAGGGGATCAAGAGCACAAACACAAAAAAAAAGGGGTACTAAATGATTTACCACTGGCGCTGCCTGTTTCGCAAAAAACTCGGCGCGGAGGGGCGTCATTATTGGCCCCCGCCACCCTAGCACTCTTTCGCCGCTGCCAGCCATACAACGCGCCGAGCCGCACGTCATTCTACCTACTGGCAAACGGGCACCATGCAGCGCTGCGCTGCCTTGCTTTACACGCATGGCTCATCTCAATAGGACACCTGAGACACCCTTATGGCGTGCGCGAGCTGCTCCTCCTCCGTCATCTCCTGGATCGGCTTTGGTAGGGGCACCTGGTCCTCCTGCAGCTGGGCGCGGAGGCACACGTAGAGGTTCTTGCGGAGGGACTCGTGGTCAAGCTGAGGCCGGACGCCAAACAGCGGCTTCATCCCGAGTGCATGACATATCTCATTGCACTCGTGTCGCTGCACAAACTTCTCGATGCCCTCGTGGCCCATGTTGCCCAGCCCCATGCCCTTGCCGTCCTCTGTGTGGATCTGCGGGTCCGTCAAGAGGTCGTTGACGCCTTGAAGGTCGCACAGCAGCATCGAGCCGCCGCTCTCGACGAGCGTGAAGTGCGAAAAAGCCTCAGCAATGTGAAACATGTGTGCCCGCTTCTGGATCTGCGATGACGTCCGGCAGGCCGGGTCGTCTTTGTATGTGTCGCCAAAGTTGCTATTATACTTCGTGAAGTGGCCGCGGAGCTTTGGCTCCATCACAAACAAGACCTCCCTCGTGTCGGTTGTTTTGTACGAGAAGAAGCCGTGCCTGCTGTTCTGGTACTCAGGCGGGATGTTCCGCTTGCTGATGCGCACCACATGGCACTGCAAGAAGGAGACGCATGTCCTTTCCATGCCGCTGAAGGGGGCCTTGTTGAAGTTGTTGGCGAACTCCTCGCACATGCACTGCGCCTCGCCCTCGCTGAAGTAGTCCTTCTCCACTACATCCGTGATATTCCGCTTGAAGAGCTTCGCGAGGCACGCGGTGCTGCTGCCATCCTCCTCCACCTCCTCCACCTCGTACACGACACGCATGCCGCCATTCCCAAACCACTTTAAGGGGGACGGAACCCTTACGTTGGTGCTCGTCGCGACCCACTCTTTCCGCCGCAAGTTGTAAATGTACTTCGTCGCGCCGCAGATGCACGGGTGACTCTCTGGTGCCGGCATCTTCTCTTCTTAGCCTTGCGCAGCCTCGCACCTCTGCGGCCCGATGCTCCGCCAAGCGTCCGTAGTGGGAGGGTAGGCAACAATAAACAGTCAAGGGGGAAAGCACAATGGGACCAACCACAGAGACCAGCATAGTGATACCTCATGGCTGAGCGTAAACAAGAGAAAAAGCGACTGCTCAAACATATGTACGTCAAGGCACTCGCGGACACTGTGGGATTTTTTTAAAACTAGAGAATACCACTGTTCTCACAGGAGAGTCGCTCATCAGGCAACCACCAGCACTACCAACGTCCACTACACATACTCATCACTCGGCGAAAAAAAGGAAGCATATTATAAAACAGGAAAGGGACCTTCACTAACAAGAAAAACTACAAGACAAACATTCTATTTCCCCTTATACGCAGCAATTCTGCGAAGCAATCCATGCACTAGGCTAACTGTTACCCGTAGGTGGTTTGGACGCCGCTCCTGTTGATAGACGTAATCAAACGCCAGGATTAACTCAAGCCGCAATTCAATACGAAGGGATCGTATTTCTGCCATCACTTCAGCGCTACATGAGCAAGAAGTGCATATACCCAGATAGAAGAGGTGATCCGATATCGATATGGGATAGATGCTGTTACTACACTCAAGGTCCTCGCTGACGTTTATAGATGAGCAGTTTTCTCCACTCTTATCCTTGCAGCTTCGGTAGCTCGTATTACCATCGTTGTTGTACCACACTTCATGAGGTATGTGAACAAAACCAAATGATGAAGGTGGAACATGAGGAACGACATCACGGTTGTGTGTGACGCGGTACGACTCGTGACCGCCGTTGCAGAA